TTTTTTGTTGACGGTTGTTCTGATACTTTCATTCACTAAAACTCTGAAGACAGTGTTAACTACTGCTACTATTGTTTCTATCAACATCAGAAATTTTTCAATGTCTCTGGAGGCAGGGAGATTGCTTGGCTATATTGTTGACCCTTTTTCATGAACAACTTATGTATTCAAACTGTATTTCCATTTTTGTCTGCTCGTGTCCCTGGGGAGTTTCATGTTTGCATGGACATTTAATTGAAAAACATTGCCATTTTATCATGATGTGAAGGAGGTTAGTTAACCAGTTCATTGCCCATCCAATTGGTTCTTACATTTTCTGGTGAGTTATCTACTTTTGCTGGTTTTGCCCATTCACTTGACATTGACTTTTGCTATTAAATGGAAGATTAGCTTGTTTGACTGAAGTTTCCATTCAGTTCACTTATTATTTAGTACCAATATTTAGTATCAATATTATTTAGTATTTAGTACATCTGGGGTTTTACAACAACACAGTATGAGGAACATGCATTGTAAGCCTTGGAGTGTCATGTACCTATGACCAAAAGACATCCTTTCTGGTTTGGGAATGATGGCTTCTCTTCATGTTGTTATTCCCTTGGGGTGTGCTCACAGCAATATTTCCAATGGGACCTTGCTTTTCAGTAGCATCTTACTTCAGATTTTTTGTCATGTAGCTTACTTGTTTCTTGCATTGCTCTCATGTTTCTTTAATTTTGGTTGACCCAAAAGTATTATCTTCATATTTTCACAGATTCCTTACTCTCCATTATGGAGCTATTTTGGGGTGTTAGCTTCAGTTTGGCTGGACTACTGTAGAAGCAATAGCTCACATGCACCTGTTAAAACTCTAGGCTGCTTAACATGTTTCTCTTGAGCTCTGCACCTTATATACCACCAATATGTATTAGTTCACACAGACAATTCTACAGTAGTTGCTTATATCAGCAATTAGCTTGGTACTCATTCTTTTAGTTTTTGTTTTACTCAGTTTCTTTGCTATCTATGGCTTCATTCTCAATATGTTCCTCCTCAATCCTGTCATGTTCTTAATGTGATGTTTGTTTGGTTCTCTTTCTGAGAATTGTCAGCTTCTACCCTTGGTTCTTTGTGTTTTCAGTGGTTTTTGGCTTTACAAATGTCTTGGTCATTTGATTAGTAATGTCTTCATAAGTTCAAATAAACATCTTCCACTCTACTGGTCTTCAGTTCCAGATCCAAATTTTCTGCTGTCAATCTTAGGAGAATCTTTTTCTTTTTGCTTACCCTCCTCTCCACCTTCTGTGAATTTTCAACACAATATCATTTATGCAAGGTACCTGGTTCTCTTCATCACTCCATTTTGCTAGCTCAACCATAATTTCCCCTGTTATATCCACTTTTGCACAGAAAACTTGTCCTTTTATCACTTTTGGAACATCTTCGACAGCATCAAACATGCATTTTTCACAATGACATTTGATGTCTGTGGCTTCACAGCTGGCTGTTTTTAGGTCTTTTGTCTGAGAGTCAAATTACTTTCTAAAGGATTTGAATCGAAGCCCATTATTGTCGACACTTTCCCTGGTTGAATATCACTCATGTTGGACTGCCTCCTGGAGTTTGTGCATTAGAAGCAGTAATTTATTGTTTATCTGCAACTCCTAAACAAATTGCTTCTTATTTTCATGTTTTGGCTCAACACCTTCTTCTAAAGCTGGTTACATAGCTGTCTTATCTGCCACTTTCAGATGACATGGAGCCAATCAGTCTTTCTTATTTTGTTTTCCCTATATTCAAATACCTTTTCCAAGCCTTTCATCTTCAACAGCCCAAAGTTTCTAGACTGTTCTAAATAGAACTTGAACTTAGTATTTTTATGTGGAAGACCACTGTTGAACCTTGTGTGATTTGTTCACTCTATTATCCATCACTCAAAATGTACTTTATTTTATTGTTTGCACCAGGCAGAAGGTGTTCTGATACATTTTGCCCTAAATGCTTCTTATACCTTGTTTCCTTTCCTACCTTAACTTGGATATGTTAAAGAATGTAACCAGAGTCTTTTGTATGTTATGTAACCTACCCGGTCTGATCTTGATTTTTATTCTTAAGAATGATTTTTATGTCCAGTGAGTTCCATTTGTTATTGTTATCTTGCACATATTGAATCTTTCAGGAAGGCATGAAAAAGATTGTCTATACCATACAACAAATTATGCTTCTCATATTTTGCTCTGACTGCAATGACAAATCAGTTTGCGCAAGTGATCCATCTTGTTTATTGTGATGTTCCCAGGCATCTTAAAAGTGAATTTCGGGTTATATCTCAATGAGTTTTCTATTTGTCAATGTCTTTAGCATCTCAGTATAAGTACCCTTTAGAGGACATCTTGCAGGTTGCCAAGTCGATGAATCTGAATATGTTCTTGAAATTTAATTAAATCATATTGCTGTCTCTTTAACTTCAAAATTCTATTTGTTTCTGGCGGTCATTCTTTAAAGCAGATAGAATCCATAGCAAATTATCTAATATCAGATAATTTACTACTCGGGCCCATACCTATGTTGTGTATAGCAACCAAAGTATTTCTGTACCTTCCAACACTCATCTTCACAGTTCTGTGGGTTTATGAGGTTGAAACATTATTTTATTATAAAAAGAGCAACAAAAAAGATAAAATCTGAGACTAAATGTATGGATTTGTCCAGTCAGGACTCTCACAAGTCACATATACCTCTGTTTGTCCTAGATCAAATTTAATCCTTTACACTGAAGTTTCATAAGAAGATAATTCCTCCTGGAAATGGAATAAGGTTACCTTCTGGTAACCAATGATGTTTTAGCAAATATCCTTTCCACCATCACATGCATGATTTCAAACTCATCCTTGGGTCTGCCTAGGTCTTTTCAATTCTCCCCAGGTGCCCACTGACTAGGTCAGTTTTTGACTTGGCCAACCTTTTCAGACTAGGAGGAAGGGGACCTTAGCCCCTAGAGCTTGTCTAGTGTTTAGTTCTTACTGGTCCCCTACTCTGATAATCTTTTACTGCAGGTACATGACTACAGGCACACCACCACCTGTAACCTGAGAATGTGCATGGCTCCATTCACAGGTTCTACTATAACTTCCTACCTCCATTTGTGTATATATATATATATATATATATATATATATATTATTATTAATGAGAGTCAAGGGTGAGGAGATTAATCAGTCCATTAACCTTTAACCTGATTCTGGATTCTAGTCAAAATCTGCTTGACTATTGAAATTGTTTGCTGTGGTTTAAACTGTTACTCTTTTGCTTCAGATCCTTACTTTTGGGGAAATAGTGTTCCTTATGACACTTTGCAATACCCATCTCCATTTTATTGAGGGTATATTGGCTTTTAGTATACCATAGGTGAATCTATCCAATTTTGAATTTCAGATTTTTAAATTAAAATGAATTTCAAACATGTACTTACTTCAAAAATACATTCCAATCCATCTCTCACCAACCGATAGAAAGAGGTTATGTCATTAGACTGCATACAGAGAAATCTTTCATATAGCAGTATAACAGTGCTTATGTACATTCTGTTGATACATGCACAATAAGTCATGTGAAAGGTGGAAAAGTGGAGAACTGTGGATAAGTTGAGTTATGATTTGCATTGTGTCAAGGACATTCAGAATTTGATCTCATGTGGATGCTAACGGCATGAAAGCAACTCAACAAGAAAAGGCTTTTAGTATTCATAGGTATTAACGTCTCTGTTTGAAATTCATTTTCATTCTAAAAAGTTCACATTTGATGAAAGTTCAAGCATTTTGATAACTAACCATGAGAGTAGGATTTAGGGAAATTTATTCCTGTTTTTTAAATTACTGTACATTCAGCTTTTTGCATGCTCATTTGTTAACCTTTTTTTTTTTTTGAAGGTGATTAAGTAGTAGGAAGAATCAGTTTGGGCACTAAAGGCAGACTTCATATAATAGTATATCTTTTTGATGCAAGTGATATAATAATTCAAGATAGCCTGTATGTAACTGATCAATACATTGATCTGCATGCACATATAGCTTTAATTAGTAGTAAATTCTGTAGCTTAAATTTTAGTTCTTTGACTAAATTTGCATAATGTACTCTGATTCATGTTTGTAAACTAGTCAGTTTTTTTTTTAATTATCAAAGTATTGACAAAAAAAGAGGACTATTTTTTCCTTGAGTAAAGGAAAGTAAAGCATAAAGGTTTGAGTTCAGGAATTTTTGTCTGTTTGTTCCAATCATGAGATTTCATTAAAATATACAAGACCAGAAAAAAACATCATGAAGTCTGTATGTAGAAATATTGGTTTTAAGAAGAAGAAATATACAATTAAACATTTCATATACATCAAGTGGTTTGTAGAACTTATTCAAGAAATCATAAACAAACATAAAAGTAACTCGAAATAGATATATAAAACAAAACAATAATAATTCTAGGAAACTTTGAAACCAACTTCAGATAAAAAATGGAGTCAGAGCTATTGTCTTTCAGCCTTTTTCAGAGAAAATGGAAAAGTAATTTTAAGTACTTTTATATCTGCATAATGTTTTCTTACCTTGTTTATGGTTTATTGGTATAAAGCTTTTTCAGAGGTTTTGTCTTTTACTTTCTTTATTTTGTTTTATATGTGTCTGGCTCATTTTATTTTTTATTTCTAAGATTCTGAGATCTTTTATTTTTTAATTGTGCAATTTGAAAATATTGGTGTTTTCTGGTGAACAGCTACTGTTGTTGAAATTTAACTGTCTGCTTTTTTACTGTTAAAAAAGTATCAATAATATCAAGATTCATAAAAGTGAGGAAAGTAAGTAATTGAATGTTACACTAATTTAATTTAATTCTAAATTCTGTTATAATTTCACTTATAATTTTATCTTTTTGTTTTCTAATTTGCACACTGTAAATGTTTTGGACCAATACATCTAGGTAGACATATATATATTGAGCTGAATTACATTTTGCATATGTTTTTATTTTTTAGTTGATGTTATCTTGGTTGTTGATGAAGAAAAACTGTGCTTCGAATTACATCGTGATGTGCCATCCTTTGTACAAATTATTGCAGTACCTAAATCGGGTGGGGTGAGTAATGAAAATTATAATACTACAGATAAAGTAGTTTTAGCAATTGACGGTTAAACAAAAGTAACACATGGCCTATATTCACCTAGTTTTGTTAATTTTTTACTACTCATGTTTCATTTACTTTGATTAACTATAATCTTGGTTTTTGATAAAAAAAAATGCTGTATGAAATAACATCATGTTTAACCATCTTTCGTCTTGTCTATTATTATTAATTACCATCTACCAGAGTGAGTAGAAAAAAAAGGAAATCAGAATGCTACATTGTAAGGTGTTTTGGGGTATTAAAAGTTTAATGTAGTTAGTGGCTAGTGGCTTTTAATCATCTAACTTTTCTTACATTATTACACAGTTTTTAGTTTTTCAGGCTGCTACCATTTCAACTTATTTGTTTTAATAATTTTTTGAGCAGAAGACCAGTCTACTGATGTATATAACCTCGTATTGTTGGGGCAGATCCAGACTAAGTTTTTTTTGTCAAGTTTTTTTTCTATGGGACAGATTCTGTACAGTAGGTGTATGTGACTTGTTGGCAATAAATTTTAACAATAAACAAGCAGCACACAGTCCACTTGTTTTAAAATAATATATTAAAACAAGTCAAAAATATATACATATGTTTGTTACACTTTTGATTATAACAGTTGTATCCAAAACTTTAAATAATTATCTCTTTTTCATCATAGTCCACACAGGTTGATTCAATTACTTTAGAACACAATTGACAAGACAAACTATTCTTCCTGCTCTGTTATTACAATACAGTCTGTGATAAGTTCACTTTAAAAATTGCCACTATATGCTCTTGATGGCTAAACTCACAGTCACACAGTCTAGATCTATCTATCAAACTAAATTTTTGACACATATTTATACCCTGATAGAGGTTTAGAAGTTCCAAACACTACTAGATATTACAATGCAATAATACTCAATTAAAACTATGACAAAAATTCAGAAGATTCTATTAACATGACGCAATAATATAACAATCACCAATTCATAACTAGTGAACTACAACAGTGTATTATTCATAAACAGTTACATATATGATCCCATGATAAACTATCACTTCTAAAAATAACTAAATTTAACACTTGTGCTATATAAACTGTCTGTATGATAACACTCCCATTAAACTTAAATTGAAACATTCGTGTATATCAAACATTTTTTTTATTTATTTTTTTGAGGGGGAAGGCAATTGTGATAAGCTTGTGACAACAGATATATATATTTAAAAAAAAAATGAACCCTCTCTCCATGGGCATTTTTTTGTACTCATGTCATGGGATTTTAGTGATTGACATTCAAAATGTAATTAAGTTACTTCATTTTTGTGGTATGCCAATAAATATAGCATAGAAATGTAGCTGAAAACACAGTCAATATGTGAGCGTAAGAAATGCACTTTCAAGCTCATATTACAACCCAACTCACGGAATTTATTGAGCATGTTACTGACAGTATTTTTGTAATTTGGGTCCTTTTTATTTCATAAAAATTTGTCAATAACATCTTTAAAGGCAACCCATGCTTCTTTTTCAACTTTCCTCATTGTCCTTTCAAACTGTTCATCTGAAGTCAATTTCCTAATCATCATTTCTATTGACATCAGAATCAGATAAGAAATTTCCTTTTTATTTTGAGTGTTGTAGCCTTGCACGTTACATGAGCAAAAATAGCAGTCATCTCCGTGGTTTCTAAGCTCATTCCAAACCATTGGAATTCCAAAAGGCAAAGACTTTTTTTGTTACCTTTAGTCCATTGTCTCAACTCCTCAACACAAATGGTGCAAACTTTTGTGGAGCATATGATTTGTGTTGGCCCTCAAGTTTTATTCCAAAATATATGTAATACACTATTTTTATAAATTCTGTAATGTTTTTGCCTTTGTTTCTTTATAACAAATATATCACAAATATAACAGAATATGTTTGGGTCATTTACACAACTTCTTGTTGCTATAGTGATAAGTAAATAATACTGAAAAGAAAAAAATAATGTCAGATTGCACACACAAACAAATACTATCCAGAAATGACACATCATGCGGCCTGTTAACCATTTATGTAATAGAGATGTGTTTCTCATGGGTTCTAGAATGATCTATAAGACTCTTATGTTGCGATTAGTCTAAAGAAATCTATAGCCAGTAGTTTCAACATTTTAAGCATAAGAAAATATGATCCGATTTCAATGAAAATGATTCACTTATGTAAAAGTACATATGACGTTTTGTGAAAAATCTGTACGCGATGGAGAAAAATGGATATCATTTTTGGATTCAGTGTAGGGGAATTACTGTAAAACATGTAAAAATTTCAAGACAATAAAACCATTGCAGGCCTGTGTAATCCATATTTTAATAGTGTATAAGTTTTAAGTTATTAATTTTATAAGACAATATTTAAAGAAAAAAATCCTGAATTTTTCCTAGTACGAGAATTGTAACATGTTCTCTCTAGGCATCCCCTTTTTAAATTTATTTATTACCCCTCCAAGAAGTAAAAAATTTAATGTAAATTCCTCATTAGAATATTGTCATTGCTCAGGCAAAGCATAATATTCATAGCCTTCAATATTATTTGATCACAGAGCCATGAAAAAAAAAAATCAGACCCCTCTTGCAATGCCCACCTGTCACATCCTCTTTGCCACCCAATGGCACAGCGGTATGTCTGCAGACTTACAATGCTAAAATCCGGGTTTCGATACCCGTGGTGGGCA